CAAACAACATGTCCGCTGGCAACAGATGCGGGTAAAGGACAGAATCCGGTGCCTCAATTCAAACCCAATTGGTAGAACGAGAACCTCGACCCAATAATAATTCGTGCAACATGCTAAAGCCCAGCGATGTAGTCTGAAACTGATATCACTTGACATCACTTGACCCTGCAAATGCACAATTGTTCAAACTTCAAAAGCAAGCGCGAAAAAAGGCGCGCCCCAACAAATATGAAGCCTAAAATCCGCCGTCAAAATCACATCACCCTCACAAACACCCCACTCCCCTATTTCATCCTGGTGCAAAGGCGCACGAAACGTCCGCATCTCGATGTGTCGCGCCGAGTGTCCCCAGGGCACGTCCAGCACTAGACGCAGCTCTGGAGCCATTGGCAGCTCCGGCTCCTCAAAAGCGAAGGCCACGGTGGGGCGCCAACCGTGGTGGTAGGAGGCGGCCGCCCAAAGGTGCAGCAGCCGCAACGCGGCACCACCCACAGGGCCTTGCATAGGGCCAAAGTAGCAAATGCCCAAAAACGGGGTCCATCTCCAAAAGGAGATCGCTCTACCAGCGAAGGTTTGTTGGGTCCGATGTCAACTTGAGGGTGGCTGGCTGGAAACTTGCATGTAGCATAGCGAATGCTCTTGCACTTGAGGCCCAGCTGAAAAAGATACAGGAGGAGCATGTCCAACCTTCGATCTTTCAGTAGACTACTAACTTGAATTTCCATTAGCATTGCTGGCGTCAAACAAATGGTGCGGGAAGACTAGGGCAGAAAGCAATTAGCGAGAACGCGCTCAAGACTTGCCGTTCCTCTAATTCTGCATCGGCGCAAGAGACCCTCCGGTCATGTGAGCGCTCATATGCTTGACGGCGTGGAGTAAGATCTAAGAACCAAAGTGTTCAGTGTTGAGCCCAGAAAGGTGGCAAGAACCTGCAGACTCCACAGCGCCAAACAAAGCGCAGTCTCACCATTTTCGCCGCACATGGCCCCTTTCCCCCTTTCCACAAACAAACCAATGGGACAAAATTGAGCAAACAAACAAACAAACAAACAAACAAACAAACAAACAACAAGCCGGCAAGCAAAGCAAAGCTTGCTAAAAAAAAAAAGCAAACAAAAAAACACCACGAACCAACAACACAAAAGAACCCAACAACACGCAACACAAAAGACAAAAGCTAAAGCAAGAACACAGCCTCGGGCCAGGCACAGTCTGCAAAGGTCGGGGACCAAAGCCGATGAAGCTCCTCGTCCACGAGGCGCCGCTGCAGCTGAGCGCCCTCCAAGGACCCCAAACCTTGGGGCGGCGGAGGCCAGGAGCAGCGCCAAGGGTGGCCTCGCAGGGGCCGCAGCTCCTGGGAACTTTCATCCCATACGTAGGAGCCATGAAGGAAGCATCTGACTCTCGCTGGCTGACTTGCGTCTGCCATGCTGCAATAGCGGGGCACATCAGACAAGAGGCAAACAAGATTCCAGGTTCGCGACCACTCTGTCATGAGACAGGCCGTGACATTCAAGGGTTGAAGCTTATCCATGATTGATATACACTCCCCAGGTGGGCGAGAAGGGCGGCTGGGACAAAGACAGGTGGGTGAACCGTGCCCCCTTGGCCAAGCAACCAAGTTGAATCTTTGCCAAAAAAAAGAGAGCCCTACGTTTGGTCCTTGGGGCCGCTTCCTTCACCAGAGTAGGTGAGGCATTGGTGACCATCCAGCAGAAAGTAGGTGCAGGCGATGGTGTGCCTGCATAAATCCTGCAGCCACAACGGGTTCACGCGAATCATGCGGAAACAGAACATGTTTCTAAAAGAGCAACGACAAAACAACTACAGGATTGCTGAACCACAAACAAACATATTCTAAACACTTGCCTCAAAAACATCTGATGGCCCTGGCTTTTCCCAGGGTCACTTATGCATTTGCAACAAGAGCTGGCAATTGGATGCACGTGTGCCGGCTGCATCATTGAACATGTTTGCGTGTGCGTCTTCTAAAATTCCAAAGCTTCAGCACGGCCCCATTAGGATTCCAACTCGTACCCCCATCCTGAGCCTCGCGGGGATCGCGTACTGACCCATTCCATGCACATTGGCACATTTAACACACGGATGCCCCTCCTCACACTGCTGCCAGGTCAGGGAGAGCTTTGCCACTTGGATAAGGCTCAGCCCGCAGCCCTCTGACGGACAGCTCTCGCTTCCGGCAGCCGCGCCGAAAGCGGTGAGGAGGACCAATCGGGGCATGGCCACGCACGGGCGAGAGGCATGGAACAGCCCACCTTGGCCTCTTTGGCTCTTGGCCCCCCTGCCTCAGGCGTTTTGCATTTGTTTTGCCCAGCTTCGTTCTGCAAAGGCACAAGCACCCGTTCTAACACATGAGAAGGCAACGTTTTTCGCACACCATGCACACCCACGCAAGCTTCTGACCCAATCTGGGATTCTTGCTTGGGGCCATGTGATAGACGCATAGCCAACCGCATTTCCTTCCAGCTAGCTGCTGGTT